GGATCGCTGCAGCACTCAAGCCCGACCACCACGTCAAGGTGTCAGCTTTAGGTCGGGATGGTTTGTGAATAAGCTTCTTTTAACTGTTTTGCATGACAAACCCACGTTTCGGAACCCACGCGAATATCATAGATGACCTTTCCGATTCGCCAAGTGATTTTTCCTGAATGTTGGGATACGCGATTACCACGATAGTCCTTTACTAGCACGCTCTGTCCGATGTCAAGATGTCGCCACTTTGCGGTTATAGTAGGACTCCATTTTCTGATTTGATGACGCCGCCTCATTTGAAGGCTTCAGAAGGTCAAAGGTGCCAAAGGAGAGCAGCTCCGTCCATCACTTTGACAATTTCCAGTAGCTCAATAGTATCGAGCTGCTCTGACTAAAGCGCTACTGGAAACGCACAGTCATGAGGATGAAGATTTCTAGGAGGTTGAATGGAAGCGAGTTAAAGAAGCTATGCTGCGGCTTTCAGAACTGTTTGTCCAAGTCACCTAACTCAGTCAAGTGAACACTGGATATTGTCGGGACCAGCAAATCTTACTGCTGTCATAGGCCATACCAGCAACTAGCGGCAGTAATTGCGCACGCAGATCCCCAAATACTGGATAATTAGAAGCTTGAAGAATGACAGAGAACGCTAGTTGATTTCGAAGGCCCGGAAGATGAAAAAGGCTTTCACTGCAGGCAGCACCCGCGCGCTGTTTCAACTGATCCGATCATCCGCTCAAAAGAAATTAGGTGTTGGCGAAACAACATGCGAAAAGACGGAACGGCAGTTCACTCCCTCAGTCGTCTTCAGCGTGCGCTGAGCACTTCAAAATACAATTCAGCTCGTCTCCTTGAACACAACCGCTGGAAGAACCTAGCTGGACTGAATGAAACATCGACACAAACCTACCATCAGCAACCGAAACCCAGCATCAGAAATCAATCCTGAAGCGGGACAAGGCAGCTGGCCCGGATGGTCTACACCCTGCGCTCCTCAAAGAAGGTGGCGAGGTACTGGTGAGCCTTTCGACAGCCATATGGCACAAGACTTGGAACGAAAACAATAGAGCTCCTCGACAGTCATCCAAGTCCTCAAAAAGGGCGCAAGAACGTTATGTGAGAACCATTGTGTTATCAGCCGGGTACCCTTCGCATCAGAAGTGCTCTCTGGCATTATTTTGTGCAGGTCGGTCGATTATCGCGAGAGAGATTCGTGGTAACAAAGCTGGGTTTCTCCCTGGCCGAGGATTCATCGACCACATGTTTACCTTGAGACAAATTCTTGAACAGCGCCACTCCTTCACGTTAGTCGTCCCGATTTGAAAGCTGCTATTGATGCTGTCGATGGTCAGAAAATTTGGCAGTGTCTGGCAATCAAAGTGTCCCTTCCAAATTTATATCCCTTATAAGGGCACTGTATGCGAGCTTTTATGGGCGCTTACGAGTATACGACAAGCTTTTGTCACAGTTCGCCACGTTCAGTAGTGTAAGACAAGACTGACCTTTCCCACCTTTTCTCTTCGGCTTTATTATTGATGTGCTACTTGAAATTTCTCTGCCTGCCTCTGAAACCTCGGGAGTCGAAATGCTCCCGGGACATTCGCTCATAGACATCTAGTGTGCAGACGATATTGCTCTTCTTGATTCATATCTTTCAGAAATGCGAATCACTTTAAATAGCATAAATAACTGTCGCACGGTTCGGCATGCGCTTCATATATGCAATTGTAAAGTACTGCCACAAGACTTGGTGGGATCAAACCCACACCTCGTGCTTGTGGGTGAGCCGATCGATGTGGCGAATAAATTTGTTTACCTGGGCGGCGTTATAGGTTCCGATGAACTGGCTGAAAAGTAGATTATTTCTCGAATGGGAAAGGCCAGGACAGCTTTTGCCAACCTCCGACACCTATGGCGCTGACATGACGTCACTTTGTCTGTCAAGGACAGAGTTCACACTGCGGTTGTGCAACCCAAACTGCTTTATGAATCAGAGACGTTGGTTCTACGCGGTGTCTCCGAAGCATTGGTCAGGTCTGATGGGAACATCGGATTAGCAATGCTGAGGTACGCCAGATGGTCTTAGGAAGAAGGAGCTCTTCCGCTGCGCAAGTTATACTGGTTGGGACATGTGGTGTGCATGCTGGAAGACAGTCTGCCTTACAGAACTCTTTTCGTGAGTGGAAGCGACCGAGAGGTGGACAGTGTAAGACCTAGAACGATGTATGAAAACATTAACTAGTAAACTCAGTCGGGTCGATAGCTGCTCGATAGCTGCTCCTTGGATGAGGACCACGGGACTCAACCAACCGCTCGTTAATGGCACTGGCAGAGTGACCCAATTGTGTAGTCAGTGGCGCTCGAGCATCAAAGCTGCCGCCGTCAATGCGTAGCTACCCAATTCCTGAACAAACCAAACATGCCATCGCTTTCTAGGCTTGGCCGTATCTCCCACACTCTTCCACTCGCCGGTGGTCAAACTGTAGCAT